GATGTCTCCCGCAATAGCCGTGAATATATTCAGTTCATTTAGAGGTCAAACCTTGATTGCGATTTTTTTCTCCTCAATTTTATTTTTATAAAGTTGTTCACAATAATTTATTACATTTAATATTCCAATACCAATCCCACCACCATACCTTCCCACCACCATTATTTCGAATTTTACCCCACCACCCAACCTTGCCCCAAAAACAGGTACTAAATATTTTACTTTGTAGGGCTTGTTGTGAATAATGCGTCAAAAATGATCCAAAAAAAGTTTCCTTAGAGGAAAATATGTGAAGATTGTTCTATCTTACCCTACAGCCACATGTCCTATATGAGATTACTAACATGTGCTAAGAGGAAATAAGCACTGTCCTTGCACGTGGTCACATCAACCACAATCCTGGTTTGAAGCCCCAGCACCATATATGATCACCAGGGGTCACTCCTCAGCACAGAGCCAGGAATAGCTTCTGAGCACCTCCAGGAGTGGCAAAATGCCCTCCCCACCAGAAAATTAAAAGATTTCAAAAAAAAGAATGTCAAAGAGAGAGAGCTCAATGGGCTTAGTACCTGCACGGATGCATCAGGTACTAATTTGCTAATTTGCTCCCTAGCACTGCAGAGGATTAAGCACTTCGGGGGACTGATTCCATAGCACAAAATGAGACGAAGCACTCAATCAGGGATATGTTACTATCAGGTATCCAGTGATAGAATCTGACCAGGTCATCTCATCTAAATGGTTTTCTTTCCCAAAATACATAATCTGATAAGATTTATGAATAGGGGCCAGAGAGTTGGTATAACAGGTAGAGCACTTGCCTTGCACAGGAATGACCTAGGTTCAATCCCAAGAATTTCAAATGGTTCCTTAGCACGGCCAGGAGTGATCAGGGCTTACTCCTGTCTTTCAGCATAGCCAGGTATGGCCCCAAAAAAATTTAAAAAAAAAATTATGAAGAATCTCATACATAGCTGGTAAAGCTAATCATTAGGAAACATCATAAAATCCAAATTCAGGAACATTCTATAAAAACTAAAGATTCTTCAAAGTTATCTTGGAGAGAAAGTAAAGATAGTCCAAAGTAAATAGAAGAAAGTAAGGAAACTTGACATCTAAATGCGATTCAGTAGGTTGTAAAACCAGTATATTGGGGATAAAGCCCTTGTCTTATACACAACTGACCAGACTCACAGTACCTTATGGCCGCCTGGGCTTGGGCTATCTTTATGAACCCTGTACTATATTTAAAACTTTTCCATAAATCTAAAATTATTTCAATGGCCAGAAAGACAGTACATGGGTTAAGGCCCTTGCCTTGTATCCTGCTGACCCAGGTTCCAATCCCCAGCACGTCAAATGGTACCCTCAAGCACGGCCAGGGGTCACTCCAGAGCAGAGCCAGGAACAGACTCTTCTGAGCACCATCAGGTGTGGTCCCAACATAAAAATGTTTATTGTTGTTGTTTTGGGGCCACACTCAGAGATACATAGGGATTACTACTGGCTCTGTCTGTACTCAGGAATCACTCCTGGCAGTGCTCAGGGGATCAAATGGGATTCCAGGGATTGAACCCAGGTTGGCTGCCTGCAAGGCAAGCATGCTAACTGCTGAATTACCTCTCCAGCCCCCAAAACAAAAATATTAAATAAAATTATTTCAAGATTTTTTTTAATTTAAGGGAGAGATATGCAGGTCAGTGGTAGAGCGCATGCTTTGCTTAGCTTATAAGAGGCCCTAGGTTCAATCCCCAGCATCATATATGTGTATATACAAATAACCAGGCTGGAGCGATAGCACAGGGGGTAGGGCGTTTGCCTTACAGACAACCAACATGGCCGACCCGAGTTCGATTCCTCCGCCCCTCTCGGAGAGCCTGGCAAGCTACCGAGAGTATCTCGCCCGCACGGCAAAGCCTGGCAAGCTACCCGTGATGTATTTGATATGCCAAACACAGTAACAACAAAGTCTCACACAGGAGACGTTACTGGGCCCGCTCAAGAAAATCGATGAACAACGGGAGGACAGTGACAGTGACAAATAACAGGGGCAAGATAAGAGGTAAAAGTAATTGTCCTGCAAGCAACCAACACCAATTCAACCTCTAGCAATGCAAATGGCACCCTACATACTACTCTAAACACCACTGGTATAACCCAACAACCCCCTATACCCCAACAAAGTTAAATCACCTAGACCTAAGAAAATACAAATGTTTTCATTGTCAAGAAACAATGGAAAATATCTTTTAATATGTAATATAAATTGTAAATCTGGGATTTTTAACTGGTAAAATATATGCTGGTATGACAAATACATAAAGAAATGACTTTACAGCACCACAAATATTAAAGAGAAAGAAATGTCAGGTCAAAGATACAGCTCAGTGAGAGAACACTTGTCTTACATTTGAGGCCCTGGGTTCAATTCCCCAAACCTCTCCCACCAACACACACAAAAATAATGTGTTAAAAAAAACTCCCTAAAGAAACACAATAGGGGTGTGTAACTTGATTAAAACATCCCTTAAGAACATCCTGTGTCCCTGGTTACAAATCTAGAATCTACTGCCTTATTTACTGATTAAGTTTTGCAGAAACAAGAGGTGCCCTGGTGAGAGGATAATTAATTACAAGTGTGTCCATGTCACCTGATAACTTTCAAAGTAAATAAACTAGAATCAGGTTTGTCAGTCTCTGGTAAGTTTACTTAATATAAATAAACTTTAACGGCTTGAATCACCCTGTATAGACCAAAAATTCTTAGTTCTGAAACAACTGTTTTAGTATAGTCCTCAGACACTGTCGTCTACTGTCACTTCTGTCACAAAATTATCTGTGTGATCTTTGGTTTCTTTCAGTCCCAATGTCCACCTCTGAAATAAATACTTATTAACTATAACCTAAAAGATGGCTAGTACTCAAAAAGTTGTATTGTGTTTAAGACAAAACTGAAGAGTACAACTGAGGCAAAAACATCTCATTTAAAAGGAAAGCATAGTTCAGTGATAAGAATGTATGTTTTACAATTTATGTGGTTCGGGTTCCATCCCTGCACCCAAAAATGGAAAAAAAAAAAAGTGGGACTAGAGAGATAGTAGAACCTGTAAATCATTTGCCTTGCATGCAGCTGACCTGGGTTCTGTCCCTAGCATCCCCTGAGCCCCGCCACGAATAATGCCTGAACTGTACAGAGTATGAAGTTAGCCCTGAGCACCAAAGGGTATGGCCTAACCCCCACCCCCCAAAAAAATGATTCAAAAAAAGAAATCCAGGGTCAGAGAGAGCTCAATGGGTTGGAGCATAAGCTTTGCATGCAGGCCTAAGTGCCACATGGTCCATCAGCAACCTAGGAAAGGACCACGATAGCACCTACAGTAGGTGTAGCCTCTGAGCTCCAACTCGGTGTGGCACAAAACTCCAAATAAGTAAAAGACAAGGCACATTCCGAAGACAGCCCACTCTACCAAGTTAAAGAAGCACCAAGCTAAAAAGTTGCAACAGCAGGACCTGCTGCTCAGTACAGTCTCCAGCTTAGCAACTCGAATGTTGTCCACCAAACACCCAGCCTGTAATAGCTAGAGCATGACAACTGTTCACTCCAAATCCATGTGCTCTGCTTGGACTCGGGATGATTTATAAAAATAGCCGCTGCTCTATGAATCTCTGAGCTCATGACGAGGCAGTGTTACCCTATAGGCCTAGAGCAGCTGTAGTCCCTCACCACACCCCTCTCTCTGCCTCCCCAGAGGGGCTGACAGCACCCCCACCATTTCTGCAGCGTGTAGTCTCCCTCTTCCTGGGCTGAGTGAGCACATTACAAATATCCCCTGATGCAATGCCACAACCATCCCTGGGAAAGAGCAGACGCAGTTGCCAAAGGCGCAGCAGCAGGGAAATGGGCGGGGCGCAAGCGCACACACACACACACACACACACACACACACGCAGACACACATTCACACTCTCACACACACTCCCTCTCTCCTCTCTCTCTCTCTCTCTCTCTCTCTCTTCTCTCTCTCCCTCCCTCCCACCCCCGCCACGAACACTGCAATGCTCTGCAGCCTGAAAGGGAGAATGGGGAGGCCCCGGGGAGCAATACTGTAACTGGACCAGAGGAGGAAAAGGAGAAAAGGGGGTTTCCAGGAGAAAGCAGGGTAACAAGGAACCTTCCAGAGAAACTCGAGCACGTTCCACCCCGGGTCGGGATCCTAACGTGCAGACTCAGTGTAATCACGGCCTCCTTCCCAAAGTCGCAGATGCAGCTCACTTACACGCAGAAGCCCCAACTGCCCCGCGGGGTAACTTTGAAAAGAACTCCGGCACCGCGGCGGCGGGTGACTAGTGGCCGCCGCTACAGCTCTGCCTCCCGCTCCCAACTGCCCCTCGGGAACCGCCCTCCCCCGCCCCCCAGCCCCAGCTCGCCCGCGTCCCAGGCGCAAGTCTGACACGCTCCAGCTCTGGGGTCAGCGCCGACCACGCACGCCGGGGCGGGGTCTCCGGACCACCCCTCAGCCCTCTCCGAACCCGAGCGGATGTCCCTCTCAGAGGCTGACCTCAGACCCACCTCAACTGGGCCACACCCCCCTCGCCCCCACCACCAATCACCCCGAAAAATAAAACATGCCCCCACGGAAAGACCTTCAGAGTTCTCCCGTCTCCCTGAGCCCCACCCAGGAGCCCGGACTCAGCCGACCCTCCTCCCTCTCAGGGCTCAGCCCCATCCCGCGCGCACCGCTCCAGGCCCGCCAAAGCCGGACCTCTGAGCCCGCTCCGCCCCGCGGGCCTGCAGATCCCGCCGGGAAGACTCCAAAGATCACGCCCGCGGGCCCCCCAGCCCGCCGCCCCCGCGTCCCGCCGGCCAGCGGCCGCCGCCCTTCCACGCCTCAGGCGGGGCCCCGCGGAATCCCGGGCGGCAAGGGACGGGGCTCCGGCAGCCCCCCGGGAAAGTGAGGAGGCGGCCCCTGGGGTCGTGCCCGGCCCGCGTGTGCACCTACCCGCCGCCGCTGCGCCGGAGCCGGAGTGAGCCGGGTGAGGGCCGGGAGGAGCCGGGAGGAGCCGGGAGCTAGAGCGAGCCCGAGGGGCGGGGCGCAGGGAGGCGGCCGCTTCCTCGTCGCCTTCTTGTGGGCCGGCGCGAGGGAGGAGCGCCGCCGCCGCCTATCCCACGGGCGGCGCTGCTCTGGCCAATAGTCGCGGCGAGGGGGCGGGCGGAGCGCCTCAGCGCGCCAATAAGCGCCGGCCCCGCCGCCTCGACCTTGCTGTGGTAAAAACGCGAGGGGAGGACCGTTGGGGGCGAGGTCCTCATGGGGGGCTTCAGGCTCCCGCCGCCCAGTGGCCAGTATCTAGGCGTCCGGCTGCCAAACCGGCTCTCTCCGCCCGGCTAGGTGATCGCCGCCTCCTTTTAGAAGTTGGGTTTCTGGAGAGGCGAAGATGCGCGTGTCCGGGCACAAGCTGCCCGGCCACGGTCCGGGCCTGCCGGGGTGGAGTGGAAGGTGGGCTCGGGCTCTGTGACGTCATCTGGGTGGGGCCCGGGTCCTGGGGCGCCGGCAGCTGGTCTCCGGAAAGAACTAGCGGGATTAGTGGGCTCGGCTGGGGACGCCTCCCCGGGGCTGCGTTTCCACCTCAGGCAACCGACGTGACTGTTACAACTGAAATGAGCAGTAAAGTGTACAATACACACCGGAAACCCGAGACTTACTGCATGCGTGTTACATTGATACTCAACTGATTCGTTTTGGATACATTCGGTTAAAAGATCGGGGTGAGGGAGGGAAATTCACATTTCATTTTTCAAATACGGTCACTAGAAAACAAAATTCCTCTCTGGTTTGTGTGTATTTCTGCTGGACGGCGCTGAAACGTGATAACACGGGTTAAGTGCTGTGTTCCAGGCACCCTTTGTAAAGGCATGTGACACCCAGTAAAGGTATTCATCATTACAATCCTATATGGCTGGTATTTAAGTTCGCATTGCCCTTCTCCAGATGAGGAAACAAACAGGCAATTTACATTATGTCAGCAAACCAGTAATTGAGAAGAGGAGTTTAACTCAAGCAACTAGACGTAGGATCTCCAGAGCTTGCTGGAACCAAAAAGAACGCTGGACCTTGTTCAAAGCCTTAGTTAGAGACCCAACTCTGCTACTTTCTATCTGTGAAACCTCGGGGGACTTAAATTTCAGTTGCCTTATAAAACCGAACTAATACAGTCATCATTGCTCAGTCATTATTAGAGTGGCCTAGGGGTAGAACACCCAGGAAGTTGAATTTGCTTTCTGGGCCACTACTAATTATAATTATGTGAGTGAGTTTGTTAAGATCTTGCTGTGCCTCAGTTTCCTCAATTGTAAGTAGATAATAATTATTGCATATTATTACACTAGGCTTATTGAATTTTTTCACTTGAGACTCTTTTTCCTCAGATTTTTTGCTTTTGGGCCATACGTGGAGATGCTTTGGGGCAACTCCCAGCTCACTGGGTCACTCCCAGTGGTACATAGGGATCCATGCTAGGAAATGAACCTAGTTCTCCCACATGCATAGTCTATATACACTTAGCCCTTTGAACTACCTCTCTGGCCTGCACCCAAGAAATTTTTTACAACCCCAGATATATAAAATATGTATACAAGACAAGCATGTTCTGATGATTATTTGAAATTTTTTACAGTCGCCAATTACAAGACCAATTATATGGGGAATCCCAACCCACAGTTAAAGTGAGGACTAGAGCAAAGGTGATAATGCACAAAAAATGCTTAGATTGGGTCCTTGGACTTAGCAAGCACTTAAAATGTTTACTATTCATTTCATAGTAACTAAAGAAGCCTAAAGGGCTGAGGAGATGGCTCAAAGGACTGGAGCACATTCTTTGTATGAGAGGTGGAGGGTCTCAGATTTGTAGCCCCTTGAACACCTCCAGAAGCTGTAGCACCCCCCAGCACTGCACACTGAAAGTAACCTCCAAGCATCAAAGTTGTGGCAAAAAAAGAAAAAGTTAAGAGCTTATACAAATATAAAGGAATTAGGAGTTTAAAGGTAAGTGGGAAATATATAGCTCTATAGATATGGAACCCTGCCAATGACATTCATCCAGTTGCAGAAAACTGAAAAGACGGACTAGAAAGACAGTACAGGAGTTATGGCACTTGCATGCAGTTATGGCACTTGGCATCACATGGTCCCCTGAGCACTACTGTGAACAAACTCCAGCACAGAGGTAGGAGCAGCCCCCCACCAGTACTGTCCCTTAGCATAGAGCCACAAGAAACCCCCAGCACTACCAAGTGTGGCCCCCCAAATGAAAACAAAAAAAAAATAACATCTACGTCCACACACCAATTACTAATCCAGATGTCTTGGGTCCAAACCCACAGTTTCCCGCCTCTCATATCCAAACTCCATGGTAGAGGAGCTACCATTAAACTATCTTTACAGGGGACAGAGCCATTGCACAGCAGAATAGGATGTTTGCCTTGCATATATATGACCCAGATTCAATCCCTGGTAATTGGGTAACATGGTCCCCTGAGAACCACTAGGAATGATTACAGCGCAGAGCCAGGAATAAGCCCTGAGCATCACCAGGTGTGGCCCAGAAAACAAAAACTACCTTTACAATACAAATTTGTATTTCTTCTGCCTACCTGAAATCTGGACAGAATTTCTAGGAGTGAAGAGGCCATCTGAAGACAGATCAGGAGCAAGAAAATAGCTCAGGGGTCAGGAACATATACTCTGAGCTCACAGGAAACTGAGTTCACCTTGTAGCCCTAGCAGCCCTGTCCTTGCTATGGGACCTGCGCAGTCAGCCTGGTTTAGTATTGCTGGGAGTGGCCCCTGGAATTGCCTTGGGCAGCAGGTGAAAAGGAAGATAGACAGGTCCTTTTCCCTGTGTTATGCATCTGTGTTTTGTATGTGTTTTATGTTTGTTTGTTTTCAGTTCCAGAAATCAAACCAGGGTCACACTCATGCAAGGCAAGCACTTTATCCCTGAGCCATAGCCACAGCCTGGGGCTGCATTTGTGTATTCTGCAAGGTCCCACAGTTTGACAATAATCTTCATCTGCCCCCCCCCTAGATTTCCTGTAAAGGAAGAAAAATAAGCCCCTACCTGTTAAAACCATGCTTAGTCCCAAATCCCTGTTGGTGCAAATTGCCATTAGTTTCTTTTCTTGCAGTGAAATGCAATACCAACTGATACAATGAGTACAAGTCCTGGAGGACAAATTGAGAAACCCAATTATAGTCAAAGTTCTGCCAGGAATAAACTGTGAGGTGCCAAAGCAAGCCATTTCCCATCTCCTGACCCCAGGCTCCTTATCTCTATCTGGGGAAGTAAAATGAGATGGTCTTTTCACCTCTCCATTTCTGGGATCTCACTCACTGTGTATGCTGTGTGCTGTGAAATTGGGTTTTTTTCCCCTTGAAATAAATCTATAGTTGACCCTGGAACAGCTTAGGGATTCTGGCCTCTGATCAGTTGAAAACTGAGTGTAACTTATAATCAGCCCTCCTTTTCCCTGTGTTCTGCATCTGTGTTTTGTATGTGTTTTATGTTTGTTTGTTTTCAGTTCCAGAAATCAAACCAGGGTCACACTCATGCAAGGCAAGCACTCCACCACTGAGCTATAGCCACAGCCTGGGGCTGCATTTGTGTATTCTGCAAACCCACAACCAAGGTTGTTTGAATACATCAGTGTGGAATCCTGTGATGAAAAAAATTCCATGAATAGGTGGACCAGTTCAAACCCATATTGTTCAAAGTTCTACTGTCCAGTTTTTATTTATTTATTTATTTATTTTTGGTTTTTTTTTTTTTTAAAAAGGTGTTTTCTTGTTCCTGCGACTTCAGAACCAATAAAGACCTTAGCACAGCGGGTAGGGCGTTCGCCTTACACGCGGCCAACATGGCCGACGCGAGTTCGATTCCTCCGCCCCTCTCGGAGAGCCCGGCAAGCTACCGAGAGTATTCGATATGCCAGACACAGTAACAACAAAGTCTCCAATGGAGACGTTACTGGGCCCGCTCGAGCAAATCGACGATCAACGGGAGGGCCTTTACCTTTACCTTTTATGGGAAGCATAAAAGGTGCCTTTTATGATGAAACACATACTTTTGAGGCAGTCCCTGAACACAAGTTTCCCTGGTAGGCTGGGAATCCTTGTTCCCTTTCATTCAGTTTCATCTAGAAAAACACAAAGAGGAATCTACTCTAAAAATAATGAAGCCCTGGGGCCAGAGTGATAGTACAACAGGTAGGGAGTTTGCCTTGCACCTGGCTGACCTGGGTTCAATTCCCAGCATCCCATATTGTCCCTTGAGCCCACCCTGAGTAATTCCTGAATGCAGAATCAAGAGTAATCAGAGTGTACCAGGTGTGGCCCAAAAGCCAAGTAAATAAATATAAATAAATAAATAACAATGAAACCCTATGCCCCCGCCCCCATAACTACTAAACTTGATATTTAATTTCTCCTCTTGGAATATGAAATCCATCATTTGTGAAATGAGAGGGTTGTAGACCCTCCAAGGCCCTTAAATCCAGGCATTCTGAGACTAAATTACATCTCATGAATCTCACCTCACATGGGCAAGTGCTTCCCAGTTGCTCAAGACTATGCCCTCTGGTTTTACAGGCTAAGCTTTTTATACTCTGAGATAGGTGGGCAAGTATTATCACCCCTATTTGTTTTTGTTGCTATTTTGGGTCTACCCTTGGCTGTGTTTAAAGATTACTCTTGGCTCTGCACTCAGGGATCACTCCTGGCAAGGCTCAGGCACCATATGGAGTGCCGGGTTTGAACCCAAGTCAGCTGTGTGCCCGGCAAGTGCTGTACTATCTCTCTAGCCCCTATCATTTCTATTTTGAAGTTGAGGAATCAGACTCAGAGATGTGAAGAAACCTGCCCACAATCACAGAAAGAGCAAGTGACAGACCAAGAACTAGGAACCTTTGACTCCTTGATCAGTGCTCTCTTTGCAACACCTGGATTTGTTTTGTTTTTTTCTCTTTCCCTTTTATCACCAAGATCCATTTCCTAGATATAGGTTTTCTGGGCTCTCAGCTATGAACCTAAGACTGCTCACAGTAAATGCTCTCAGTTGCAGGCCTTGGCAGCACGATCTGACACCTGACTTTTCTCCATTCTTCTTCTGTCATCTATGATGAATCCCACAGTCCCAAGAAAAACTTGTGGTTTCTTTCCAACTCTAACTTCAAGCATCACGTTCCCTCCTGAGGCAGAATCTGACCTTTATAGGCAAATATATTTGGACAAGTTCTTCTTGTTTTTGAGAGGTTTTGTTTTCTTGGTTTGGTTTGGTTTGGTTTGGTTTTG